GGAGGCCTCCTTGAAGCGAGAACATGAAAGCAGAGGCCTGATTATGAAAAACAGCCAACCATGCAAGGATCTGGAGGGAAGTATATTCCAGGCAGAGGGAAGAGCAAAGCCAAAGACCCTTAGGTGCCAATGGGCTCCATGCATTCAAGATACAGAAAGATGACCAGTATGGCTTAAGAGAAACTAACAAGGAAGTGAAAGGAAGGAGAGAAAACTGGCGAGTTAGGCAGGACCAGATGATAACGGTCTTGTAACCATATTTACAAGCTAGCTGCTGTGTGGAGAATGGATTGTAGGGGGCAAGAATGACAATATGGCAACCAGTGAGGAGGTTGTTAGGTGAGAAAATGAGTGACCAGATAATTTGTCATTCAAACCAGGATACTTGTGCAAGTGAAGAGGGGTGCTACAAACAATTAATCAAGGACAACAGACATAACCAGGATTTGCCATTGACAAAGCTCTAGCTGCAGTCAACATGCCCCAGCCAGGACTGTCACAAGAAGTTCAGCAGTTTTTAGCAGTTCTGCTCTGACACAGAGCTCCCAGCTCCAGAGAAGGAATCACTTTTCTATTTGGTCTCAGGCTCCTGGCCTGATGCCCCCTGCCTGAGCATTTGGTTTTTGTCTAGAGGCCCTGGGCTACAGTTGCAGCACATACAGGGAGCAGCAAGCCCCTTTCCCTGAGATCTGGGGCCCACTCTCAGTGACAACTGACAGTACACAGATGAAAGCACAAATAAGGAGTATGTGGCCACCCCTTCTTCTCGAGGTGTTGTTGAGAGAGTGGAAGCCAGAGAGGGATGGATAAGCTCTAAGTTCTAGAGCAGGGATTCTTAACTTGGACCTCAGGGGGTCTGTGAGGCAGGGAGAGGGCCCCAAGCTTTCATCAGACTCGCAAACCTACGACTCCAAAAGAGATAACCTTTGCTTTGGCGAGCAGTGGTTTTTATACTTCAATGTGCGTCAGAATCACCTGGAGAGCTTACTACAACAGGGACTGCTGGGCTCCAGCAGGTTCTGATTCAGTTCAGTCTGGAGTGAGGCCCAAGAATTTGCATTTCTATCAATTTCCAAGGGGATGCTAATGCTCTTGGTCCTGGGGACACACTTTGAGAATCACTGCTTTAGAGGATACAAAAAACATGAAGGGTTCCAGTTCAAATTATGATCTTCCCTTTGCAGACAAGAGTTCTAACAGATGCCACAGCCCTCTAAACCACCCCTAAGTCCCAAAGAATTCTATATTTTATTTTTGGAAGAAGCCCCTGGAGAGTGACAGACTCTGGACCTCCCCTAGGAGGTCAGGAAGCTTCTGGGAAATAGCATTTTAGAGGATGCAGGAAAACGCCTCCAGAAATGTAAAAGCCCATGCAAAACTACAGGGCTGGCCCTAGCTGATCCAATTGCTGGGCCAATTACTGGTGAATAGTAAGGTTTTGGGAATCTAGGCAGACCCATATCCTCTCCTAGAGACTGCCTCCTGATCCTTTTTGAGCCTATAACTGAAGCCAAATGGGCCGAGAGAGGAGGTCTGCTATAAGAAAGATAGGGTGTCTGCTGGGGGGTATAATCTGGAAAAAAGAAAGAAATCAACAACTCAACTAGAACAGAATTCAAGAGCTTCATTCACAGAGCCCTTTGATCAGGTCATTGTGGTGAGGGCGGGAAGAGGCAGGAATAGTACTCAGGGCTGTGCTTACTTTAAACAAGAGCAGTGGAGAGAGGCCTGGAAGGGCCATTTGCCAGCTTTCCTCAGACCTGCTCTGAGTAAGTCATTCCCCCATGAAAGAGGAGGGGGAAATGAAAATGTGGATTCATTCATGAATCAACCATCAGAACAGGAAGTTTGGCTTCTGAGCTATACAGAGAAATCCTCCTTCACTACAGGGAACACTGGCTTTGCCATCCAGCTAAATACATTGTGAGGTGAGGCAACGTCAAAGTCAGGGAGATCCCACAAATTAGGGGAAGAGGACGGAGAACCTCATGGGGAAGGCAATTCACTCAGTGACTGAGACCAAGGGTGTGCTTTGGCATCAGCCTGACAGGACTCATGACTTGAATTCTGATTGTGTGACCTTGGGCATGTTACTTAATCTCTCTGTGCCTTACCTTCCTCTTCTGTAAAATGGGGGTAATTATAGTGCTTAACTCAGAGTTGTAGTAAGAATTAAATGAATTAACCTTGATAAAACACTTAGCTTGGTGCCTTGCATATTGAGTGCCTAGGCACTCAACATTAGTTTTAAAAAAACACTGGTGGGCTTGGAAAAATTTAGGATGGTGGCAGTATAGACCCACCCTTCGTATCACCGCCAGAGACAGAAAGAGAAAGCAGAGCTAGGTTGGAACTGCTGCCAATCTCCCCAGGAGGCTGACAGAGAAACTCCTGCTCCCTGAGGAAGGTCTGAGGTGTGAGCTGGGCATGCAGGGAGAGTCAGCATTCCTAGGATGGTGGGGTTAACTGGACAACCCCGCTGGCTGTAAGGTGGGGATATCCTGCTCTTTTAAACATTGCAACATTCAGTGAGTTTGTTTTGTGACATTTTCTCACTGCCAATCTAAGTAAGTGCCAAATGGCCTGATTTGAACAAATCAAAATGAATGAAAATCAATGTTGATAGGAAAATTGGAAGGACGTTATTGAAAACACACTGGAGATTTGCAATGTTAAGGTAGAATCCCCATTTTCAGGAAAAAAAAATGTGCCTCAAGTTCCAGAAGTGTGGGGGATGGCGCTGAAGTGAAAGCAGTGGTGATGTGTGCTGGCCCTGAGAGGTTAGCTAGCAGTCAAACACTGGAAAAAAAGCTCTCTCTTTGCTCTGATCCTGAATGAGCAGAACCTTTTCCAAAACCCAGTATCCCAAATCAAAAAGTCCTGTCTGCTTAGAAAGAAATTGTTACTGGAACTAGGAACAAAGAGATTTCTAAAAACCATGGAAAAGAGCCAAAGTAAATGACATACCACATGGTTAAATAGAAGTTAACATCCATTGGAGGTGGGGGTGAAAAAAGATTGCCAATTATATCACTTTAGAAAAGAAAAAGCTAAATAAAAATGACACATAGTTCTGTTGAACATGCTGGGCCCCTTTCCTAAGGGGGTCCCGTGGCCCTACAAGCCTTGCTCTGTAGTTCAGACCTATCCCCAAGTCTAGGATGATCCCTCTATAGCCCTGCAGTAGGACTTCTCCTCTTGCTCTCCAAAATGACCACAGGGCATATTTAATCATTGTCCCAGTTGGAGTCTTTAAAAGACTAAGGCCACAGGACAGGGGCCAGGCCAGCTGGTGGTGCAGTGGTTAAGGGCACAGGCTCCGCTTCCGCTTCCGTGGCCTGAGGGTTCGCAGGCTTGGATCCCAGGCGTGCACAGACGCACGGCTTGTCAAGCCATGCTGTGGCAGCGTCCCATATAAAGTAGAGGAAGATGGGCACGGATGTTAGCCCAGGGCCAGTCTTCCTCAGCAAAAAGAGGAGGATTGGCATGGATGTTAGCTCAGGACTGACCTTCCTCACAAAAAAAAAAAAAAAAAAAAAAGTTAAGGCCACAGGACAGTTAGGAAGGGGCCTGGCTTCTGGCTTTTTATTCCCTTATACTTACTGAAAGTCATAGCTAGAGTTTCCATCACAAGCCCCTGTACTAGAGAGCCCTCCTTTCAGACTTTTTTTCAGTCCCTTTCAGGGACTCAGGGGTTTGTGTGATCCCACCCTGAGGAGAGAGGGGAATCTGGTCTCCTCTTCAGGAAGTACCCACCTGTCCTCTGTGTGGCCCCCAAAATCAGAGGCACTGCAGAACTTAGGGAAAACTAGAGTTTTTAGTACCCTACCTACCTCCCCCAAACAGTGGCACTCTCAGCTTTAAGTTTTCATACAGCAAAGTTTCTGCACTATTTTTATTGGAGTTGGTGGTTGTCAGATGTGGAAGCTAGTCCAACAGCTAGCTGTGGCTAGTGGTAATACAACAGCTAATCTGCTGTTCTCTACAAAGGAAGGCCATCTTAGCAAGAAAAAAATAACACAATAACAACAACAACAAAACTTTCTTGGGATTTACCCAAGAAAGCCTAGAACTGTGATACTGTGAACTTAAGATATTTCTATGTCCATACATCAGTTTTTAGAATATAACCACTGTCAATCACATTTAAATAATACCGAAAATTTTTCCATAGTGTGATTTTTGCAGGAACAAGGTTCCTGCAAGTACTTGCTCCAAGTCTTCTCGTATCCAGCCTGAAGGTAAGCGAAAGCATCAGAAAAGATAAAAGGAGGCGAAAGCCACAAATAAAACTTCCGACTCCACTTCTAAAAGTTGAGGAAAATATACATCTGAGGCCTCCGCTGGTTTTTGAGTTACAGGCCAAAACTGAGATGGTTCTTTTTGGTCAGATAATCTAATCATCTATGAGAAGGTCCCATTAACACTATTCTGAAGGATCACTCCTGTGCCACATTTTAATTGGTAACTTCATTCACTGTCTACCACTCCACTCACTAGAAAAGCAGTTTTGAAAGGATCTTATTTTCAAGCACAACCTCTATTTTCTGCAGAGGATTCTCTTCATGTTTTGTCATGTACTCTTTTGTAACCCTTCCACTACCCCAAACCAACTTCAAATTTAAAACAACAAAAAACCTTCCATGGGAAAGGGGCATGATCTATGGGAAAATTTTCTCTTTTTCTTCAATTGTGATGGCTACGTTAACCGTCATACCATCAGAGAATTTTAAACACTGACTCAAGAAGCAAGATAGGGAAGTCATTCACATAAAATCTTTAAAAATAAACAAATTGGTTTTAAAATAAAATAGAAAATAGGGTCTTCCAGTGTGAAAGAGCACATTGAATACTTGCAGGCAATTAATGATCAGGCAAGTATACCTGCTTCTGAGTCCTAAAAATGGTTTCCCTCTATTAAACAAACAAAAAAATCCAAGAGCAACCAGACACCACCCCCACCAACAAAGGCACTGAAACAAAAGACTGATCTGTTTATATAGTCACATGAAAAATAAACATCTTTATTTTTTTGCCTACTTTATTTCATTTTTTTCAAATAAAATTTAAATCTGTACAAAGTATACTGTTACAGTATATATTTTGTAAGAATCAATGCCTAAAAGAATCACAATACTTCAATAAGCAGTACAGCAGACCTCGCTAGTTTCAGCTTTGATATTGAACAAACTCAAGCCGGTTGATGCACAACACATTTGCTTGGTTTCCACATGGTGAGTTCCCAGCACTGAGATGGGAGAACATGACAGCAAGTATGGTTATATTACAGCCTGACACACTGCGCTTCTTCATGTGATAATAACTGCACATATTTAATACAGAATGCTCAAATTTACTTTTTAAATTGCATTTGCTTACTTCTTAGTTGGCAAAATTCAGCATTCTTAATGGGGTCCCCAAACAGTGCAAATTAATGATATTCTACTGTATAATTGGCACATCTCCAATAAGGATTAACTTGTAAACTCAAAGAATATCACGACTTTGTCCTAAATTTTAACTAATATCCATCTGGTCCATTTAACCAAAGTTATTTTGGAAATATATTAAAGAACAATTCTCTTTCTGAAAGGATATTGTTTTGACCATTCTTTAGAGAAGATAAATTTTTAAATTGTCATTAAAATGTTTTACTATAAAAATTTTACAAACTTGATTAGAAATTTCAAGATTATGATTCACAGCAGACAAATACAAACTGTTTATGTTCCAACAATACCTACTCTTGATCTTTCAAACAGAGCACAACCATGTCAGCTGTGTTAACTAAAATTCTGAACAGTGTACTAAATTTGTAAGTGGTGCTGGGTCTAGCAAGTGTAAATACACAGTATATTTTAATGAAAAGAATTGTCTTCTTTATACTTTATTTGTTTTCCCATAAGGAAACATTAATGTTTACATTCTTTAATAAAGTTAATCTTACATCAGAATATAACTTAATACTGTCAGCAACAGGGACCACACACAGTAAATAAGAAGCACATTTAAAATAAGTCTGAATTCACATAGATTAACATTTGTTGGTTAATAAAATATCAACAGTATTACAATCTTACAATATTTACAGTAAGAAAAATCTAGAGTAATATATACCTTTCACAGCAGGATTCCTTTTTTTTTTTTAATTATTATTTCTTCCAGTTTGGGATTGTGTATACACAAAAAGCTCAAATAAAGCAACTCTGCAATATAATCTTAAAATAATGGCTACTGAGGGAAATTCTATCACAACCATTGAAAATAATGGTGACTTTTCACGGAGTCTGTGGCATCTGAGAACCCAGTTAATTAACCAAAGTCTTGCTCAAACCAGCCTCAGTTACCCAGATTAAAGCTGCAGAACTCCGGCCTTCCCTGACTGCTGAAAACCCAACAGATTTTCTCAACATGCTATAAGAAAAGAGGGAAAATAGGTTTCAGCTCACACCTCATGGCTGGAAGCCTCTGGCCAGTGCACATTCCCCAACTTATGCTAAAAGAGGGCCAATTTCATCCTCAAAGCATCACAAGAGTTTACTCTCCAGCTACAGGGCACTTTGACATAGAGTTCACTCATTCCCCAACTCTTGTGCATTAAGACAAGGCATGAACTTGGCCCGTATAATACACACCAGCATCTTAGAGACTTGGGACCAGGGCAAAGAAACAGATTAGTACAGTTTGCACTGAGATCAACAGGGAAAATGGGAAGCGATGCATATTTCCAATTAGAATGGCAAGAAGAAGACCCACATCCCTAAACTGGAATTTGGCTAGGGCATCAGAGTTAGCACCCCCCCTCTGAGTACCACAAGCGATTAGGATGTGTGATCTTGGGCCTCCTCCAAGAGAGAGCAACTACAGTAAGTAACACCATGTGGGACATTAGTTCAGTGATGACTCCCAAGAAAGCAGATACGATTATTGAATCTGGGGCTGTCCACAGCACCTGAGGTCACTCATCTGCGCTGTGACCTGTCCCAACCCTGCTTATTTTAAGAGATCTGATGGGCACAGAGCACTCAGGGATACAGCTGCTGGCTACTTTGGACTCTAGATCTCACAGGTAATCAACAGGCATCTGGGATTGAATTAGCAAACTGTACCATAGCTCCTTAAACAGACACTGTCAGGTTTGAAATCATGTGAAGCGTGAATCTTCACTGTCAGGTCAGAAATCAAAGTGGGAGTCTTCCCACATCAGCCAAGGTTATTAAGTCAAAACCTTAGAGGAATTGGACAGTTTTTTATGTTGCAAGTGATTAGTTTACTTATTTCAGTCAAGCTGGATTGGCAAATCAGAATGATCTATTTAGTTAGCTTTGTTTTTTTTGATTCTTACGTATGTGTTAACCCAAAGCTGTTGTATTTGGGCTAAATACACTGACAGAGAAAATTCAAACAACAAAAGTTTTCACCAAACTTCTGTGGCATTTTCTTTTTGGAAGTCAATGCAAGATCTAAAGGTATTTCTACCCAACAAAGTCTGTTTAAGTGTTGAATGTTATTTCCTTTTTGGTCCTATACAGAATGCTATGATTTCTATATAGGTCTGAACGCTGCTCCATGTAGATTCCTTCTGTATATCTAAAAATATATACTTTTCAGTAGTTCAATACATGGTTAATCTTCCCACAGAGGAAGATCTTTGTAATCACATGTTGCAAAGTAGAAAAACATCTCCTTTCTAAGAAAGGAAATATACTTTCCTATTGTACACTTTTGAATAAGCCCAAAGGCATGCACCAAAATTCATTATTAAAACTAATACATGCACTAAAATGGTGTAGAGTTAAAGTGCTGCTTCTCAATTTTTAAGTTTGGAGAAGATATTTTGTCAGTTGTTGACTTAGAGATATCCCCCCTCCCCACCCACCTCACTCCACGGCATCAAGAAAGAAAAGTAAAAAGTATGCATAAATCTTTAAACTATTCTTTACATGGGGGAAAAGGACAGATATATCAACTATCCTATTTATAAACTGGATTCCCAGTTTTAAATAAAACCAATATTTACTGGTAAAAATTGTCAAAGCTAATACATCTAAACAAATGGTACTAGTAAATAACGTTCTACATAGAGAATAATTTACTTTGGTTTTATGTACCTTCTTAAAAATAATACTGGTGTCCCATACATCACCAAATTGATGTGTTCCAGCAAAGTTGTAAGGCAAATCTATTTTTTTTCCTAGTGACATCTTGTTTCCCAATAGACAAAACTAAAATCTTTTGGTGAGGAAGGGGTTAAGATAATGGCTAACCCCTTGGCATCCTGAGCATTGTGGTTTATCAAACTCTACCCTGCTGGAAGCTGTCAGGCACCCTGACCCTTGCCTTGAACCAGGAATGGCTCCCATGTCTAGAGATGCCCTAACTCCTTATAAATAACTTGCAGAACTTTGCTTCTTTTTTCCTTCTGTCTGGATGTTATAATGTCTAACAAAGCTGGTTGCAATGTCATATTTTGCTAGTAGGGGCCACCACCTAACAATAATTCCAATCTGAAATGTTTTAAGCCAATAGCTAGTTCCTAATTTTATCAATTAATTGCATTAAAATTTTCTCTATAGAGTTTACTTAGAGCAGAGATCCTTAACTTGGGTTTCAGATGTGTGATGCCCCTGAGGTTGTATGTAGAATTATCTGTGTATGTACATTTTTTTGGGGGGAGAGGGTCCATCACTTTCACCCGATTATCAAAGGTATCTGTGACCCCAAAAAGGGGTTACAGGGACTTAGAGGGATACCCGTAATTCATTTTATACCAGGATTGGGAAATGGGGGCAGAAAACTAAAAATGGCCTCAAAAAAAAAGGGCCAAATTGCTGATCTTTTCCCTTTATTCACATTTGGGAAATAAGTGATTCAAACTAGGAAAAATAATTAATTAAGCTGATTAAATTCCATTAAAAAATAATCAAAGCCACTTTCTAAAATTTTTTCATTTTCCATATATGGTAAATTTAGTCTCCAAAAAAAGGCTTAGAGACTGAATTTTTCTCTTTTCCCAAAGGAAATTTATAGATATAATGTTGATCATCATCCACATTTAAAGATTTGACAACATAAAACTTAAGACAACTCTAATGATGTAAGCCTTTAATTTACGATTTTGAGTAAAGGATTATCTAGAGTCAGATACAAATCTGTCAACTTTCATTTCCCAAAATTGGTCCATATTTAGACAACTACTGGGCACAATTCCACTAGATAAACCTAAAACCTGAACAATGAAAGTTTAACTTTCTACCCAAATTAAAAACAAAGCCACAATATTCCACAATAGAGCCTGGCCACAAACATTCACACCATGTCATAGAAGACTTTCTCATTTCAAATACATTACTGAATTTTCAACAGAATACGCAAACATAAGAGCCAGAACGACTAGCAAAACATGCTGAGAAGAGCATGTCAAGAATTAAAACACCACCCCCTACCCCCCCAACCAGAAACACACTCAAGCATTCCAAAAATAAACCAGACCTGAAAAGAGGCCTCTCACTTGTTGGTTTTAAGTATGAAGCGCCTAAAAGGCTATGGGAAAGGGAATATAAAATGAAATAATTAAATAACTTACAAAAAATAATTTTAGCCAAAACACATCTGTTCTATTGACAAAACTGTCAACCTTTTTTTTTTTTTTTTTTTTTTTGTGAACACTAACTGTGTTGTACAATCTCACTAAGATAAAAAATATGTTCACAGGTTATACTTTTTGTTCTCCTATTCTTTCTAGAGCACATCTTGAGGTTATAAGAATGCCTCTAGTTAAAATAAAGTCTCTTAACCCCTGCCACCCTCCCCACCTCAAAAAGTGAGTCAACCTTAAATTCCAAAAAGGAATATTCATTTAATATAATTATTTCAATACTAGTTATATCACATAGACCATGAGGAAACTCTATGAGCACTATGGAAAACTACATGAAAGAGGGAGCTGCCACTTGCCACCCACTTCTCTTCCAGCTTTTTAAGCCAATACCCAGCTAGACGCAAATCTCATTGACTTCAGTGAAAACAAATCAACACTCCAAAACCAGACCATGTCAGGCCTTAAAGACGTCGTTTTATATATATATATATATATATAGTGTGTATGTATGTGTATATATATATATATATTTTTCCTATCCTAAGCTTTCACTTTGTCTATTCAAATAGAATAAAACTCACATTTACAAAGGATTTCATTGGCAAATAAAGGCCCATATCAAACATTTTATCAAAACAAACTTTTGTTCTACATAGCCAACACTAAGAAATATTTTCTTGGACTTATAAAGCATAGTCAGTTGCATATAAGTTTTGCTTTGGGTGGGATACTGAAAACATAATTCTGTAAGAAATTGGAAAAGACTAGAAACAAAAGTGAAAGTGACTAGTTTTAACTTTCAAAAAATCAAGTGCAAAGATAAATAGTGCAAATAATGAAAACTGGAAATTTTATAGGCAATTTTACATAATCTTTCTTGCTTTTGCGCTTTACATATTGACAACTTTATAAACCCTAACAACTGTATGCAGCATGGAAATGGGCTATCATTTATCTCCATTGACTTGACTCAAGGAAGCCTTTCAAAGACTTGTCTCACAGTCATTTAAATCACTGGTTCTTGACACAGGTTTGGGAATTCACTTCTTTTTAAACAACTCCTAAGGGGATGGGGGCTATTTAAGAAGGCTCTGCACTCACATAAACAAGTTATAGTATGTAACTGTATTATAATTTAAAATCTGACACACAATAAAATGTGAAAATCATACTAAGTGCCAACTCTACAAAATAAGTTATAATAAAAATAATTCTGCTATTGTTTACGAACTCGACATTTGTAAAAAAGAAAAACCTTTAAATACAAAATTAGAACCTCTTTTCTAGCTATTTTTAAGGAGATTTTATCACTAATGTATACAGTTCTGGGTAAAATGAAACAGGAAAGTGATCTGTCAAAGTCACTGAGAATAGGTCCATACTAAACTAGAGTTTAAAACAGAGTTAATCCAAATATACTTGAATTATGTAACTTTAAAAACAAATATTATAGCAATTCTTTATCTAAAATAATTTAAAATGCTCCTGGGATACTGAGAACAGAAATCTAAACACTACCAGTTCACCCTCCAAAAGGACATAAGAATTTCCAAGATGTACTAAATTATATTATTAACATCTGCCACCACTGAATTCCTGGGAATTCTACAATTTTAAGGGAACAGAGAAAGTGGGGAAAACAAACAGAAACTTGAATTGGGGGGGTATGTTGTCTAATTGCAGAAATATAGTATCATTGAGGGTCTCATAAGGTCCAAAATGTTAAATGGTTGCTAGGATTGTAAACGTAAAAGAAACAGAAAAGATACCTAAAATTGCAATTTAGTGTTTTTACTTCGTTTATAGTCCTTTTTAAGAAATTTATGTGGACCAAAGGCTCAAGGTTCTGTAAAAGCAAGGCATAATATGGATCTTTGCGGACTACAAAATCAAATTATTTGATCTAAGGGCCATTTTGAAAAGTAAAGGTAAACTACATTGTAACATGAGCCCAGGAGAATAGATAGTTTGTATGATAAATATTTCTGATAGTTTAAAAATGATAACTGTGAAAAAGTTTGAAATTTTCTTATCTTTTCTCCTTCAAAGTAATAAGTCCCCAGCACCAACTTGCCTTGACCAGAAAAGTTGCCATTCTACAATTGTGCTACTTAATTTGTCCAGAAAAGCAAACGTCCTACATCTGAAAATTTGTATAATGGATCATCATTATAACATCTAGCTACAGACCAACAGCTTTCTCATAACCAACAAGAGACCCATTTTCTCTGGCTTTATTGAAACTTCTTTAGTGAAGATCAACTTCATTGTCTTTAGCAAACAACTATCATTTAAGATTCCACCTTAGTATCTTTTCCTATCTCCAATTAAAATTTCTCCCACTTTACCTCCAAACCATTCCCTTATATACTTTCCACACTCCCATTCACGACCACATTAAACAGCTCTCCCCTTTCTGCTCTCAAATTTCCAAATCAGTAAGTCTCAGCCCCCAGGAACTTACCTAAAATACACATACTTCTTACTCTCTTCAATTCACAAATTTCTTAACAAACAATTTCCACGTCCTTCAAACTGCCAACTTGACTATGGGGACAACAACAGTCAGAAAAAACTGCCCAATTACCTCATAATACAGAAATCTTTCTGGGATCAGTTAGCTATGGCAGGAGTCAGCAATTTCTTTACTTTCCTCTTAAGGGGGTTAACTTTGAGTGCCACTGGCAGGCCTATGGCAAGGAGAAGAATAAAGAAGGAGAGAGACACAAGGAAAAAGGAGGATGGGAGAAAGAAATGCCAGATGTATATGGTGGGGAGGTAGGTCAAATGCCACCAACAACTTCCTGCACTGGAAATTGCCAATCCACTCTAGCTGAATGGGAATGTGACCCAATCCCAACATGAGTCTAACAATTCATTAGCTGATGGCCATCACTGTTTGAGCCTAGTCCAGGCAAATACATTAAGTTACCCATCCCATAAGTTTGACTGCCACTTCACAATAACGACATCTTTTCTTAAGTCCTTCTAGGATCCTTCTGTGTTAATCCAGTTTAGACCAAAACATATGCTAACAAGAGTATTTCCAAGTTTCTCAAAATTCTAGAATATAAAGGTTTGGTCCTTGAACTTGGAGGCCTCTTGAATTATTCAAGTGCACCCTAAATCAAGAAAATTAAACCCTTCAGCTTAAATTTTTCCCATGAAATGCTACAAAAATTTAATAAGTAAATTACTAATAATCATCAAAATAAAGTATGTATTCATGAAAACACAAAATCTTGCGATTTTGGAGTAAAATATTTCTGGTCTGTAAGAAGTAACTTTATTGTACATAGAGGATCACCACCATGTTCTTACCTATCAAACAAGACAATTTTCCACAAAAGCAAAGCACATCAGGAAAAATTAAAAAAAGAAAGAAAATAAATACCAAACGTAATATGGGGACAAAATAAAAATAAACGAATAGCTATAAAATTCTTTTTAAGAAAAATGTTTCTAACAAGTGCCATACTTTGCCATACTCAACTTGCCTAGGACATTAATTGCCTAGATCATTCAACATCAAAACTTGGTAGTCAGTTTAGCAGCTGAAAGACGACAACTGTTGGCTTGAAACCAATCATATCTTTCACTTTTCACCTGGTTGTTCTTGCATCAAGAAATTCTACCTGACTCATGCTAATGCTAGTTTAAATGATCTTCATTTAGCCCAAAATAGTGAAATTTCTGTTCAAAAAGAGCCTGTTAAATGGCCTAGGCCTTAAATATAGGTTTTGTTTTAGGATCAAATAACTTCTCAAATATCAAAATCAGCTGTTCTTAAAAATATATTGCAAATTCTCTATAGTAAACAATGCTGCTAGGTGAAAACAGTAATTTCAGTGATCACTTTAGTTTTATAGTGTACTTCATATGAATGGCCTAAATTCGGTTAGCTTGCAATGAAAAAAACCAGAAATATAATAATGTATGACTTAAAAATGGATAAACTTTAACAACTTTGCACAAATCACTTCAGTGAATTTATTCACTTAAGCAATTCCGATAAATTTTCTTTCCTATTCATTCCACTTTCATGGGGAAGTATATATCTTCCAAATTATTAAGATATTCAAATTTAGGGACAGTCAACTATAAATGTTATACTCAGAGTTATCACCAATTGTTCCAAACCTAAGTTGCTCAAGATTCCCTTGTTTTAGCATCCTTTCACATAGAAAGCAGAATCTCATTCTGATATTGAAAAGACTGAACAGGGAAGAAAGTCATTAGATTTGGTATCTCACTTTTTATGGGGAGAAAAAAATCTTAAAAGTATGTTCATATGTAAAATAAAATGAATTGTGGAGCTATGAAAGCCACCAGAGCAACAATTTCAGAAATCCCCATACTAAAATCATCTGGAAATGCGTGCGTGTGCAGGTAATAAGAAAAAATGAGTAGGAATATTGAGGAAGCGATGGTGAACCATGTATGGGAGATAAAAATAATCATGCCCATGGTGGGGTCACCACGGCTGGCAGATAACCCAAAATGTCATAAAAGAAAAACGTTGTTAGTTTAGAGAGTTTCAATAGTGCCAAATACAAAAAGCTAAAGCACAGAAACAATGAATGAGATAACCCCCACAAACATCAAGTTCCATAAGAAAACAGGAAGAAAAAAATTGACATATGCATCTTTTTTAATATACCAAATCTTAACTGACTTAAAGATTATGTAAAGTGCTTGGGACGTGGTACCCACCCAGGTTCTTATTATCAACATACTTATCTTTTCCCCTCCCTTCCACCCAAATTTAGTTCAGTTTTCCTGCAGAAAATGTACAGCATTCCTATATTAGTAAGAATAAGAAATGAAAACAGTGAGTACAACTGATATAGATCCATTGACTTTTATTACAAATGTACTTGATCACTTGGCTTCAAAAAGTTTAAAATCAATACCCTATTTTCTGTATGCCAGTACAAAGCAAACTGTTTTACAAATTAAATACCTAAAAATTTGACAAAAATATTAAAATTTGATGAAAAACAATTATAAAAATCCTTAATCTCTCTCTCTTCAAAAAAGGAGGCAGTCTTCCCAGTCCTATTATACAATATTAATAATATTCACCACTTTTAGAATAGGTAGCTAAATTATATTTTTCTGTTAGCATACAAAACTCTTAGACTAATAGATTTTATTTGTATATGCTCCAGTTAAGTTTGTGAATGCCATCTGATTGCAATATAATCAACTATCTTTGAGTCCTAATTTACACTTAATAATTTGCATAGTTTCAAAGGGATAAAGGTTACTCTACAACTAATTATCATAGGCTATTACAGTGCTATTCTTCAAGGCAATAAGTATTTGCTCCCAAATGAAATTATCTGTCTTCTTTAGGCAGGGGTTAAAATTACTAGCAGCTTTCTCCATTACCTGAAAAATCAAATTGGAAGTTATCCATCTCTAGGTGTGAAGACCTAAAAAACACACTGATATATTTTCCACTTGGAGTCAAATTTCAACCCCTGCATGGGACAACTAGAAAGTGAGACTTTCAAGGTTTATTTCCCTGTTGGTTTTGGTTTCTACTCTCCATGGCTTTTGAGAAGCTGGAAAAGTCTGTCTTTCCTGACTCACATTGTCTTTTTTTCCCATTTGGCAAATATTCATCTACCTCCAATCTTTATCTACTGGAGGAAAAGCCAACATGGCTTTTCTTATGAACTTCCTTTGTTGTCCAAAGGCATGTATAATGATTTCTACAGTTCTGGTAAGTTAACTTGAGCTCCCTCTGTGGCTGGATGACTGCTGCTTCTAACATCAGCATGATAAATAGGAGGCACAAATAAAAAGTAGCTTAAAAAAAGATTTGGTGATTTAAAAGAAAAAAAACGAACAACACCAAACACACACACATATATGGGCATTTCAAATCTGGTGGCTGATCTCTGGATTAAATTACTTGACAGTGTCTCTCATTTTAAAGAAAGTCAATATTGCAATGCATTTCAAGTTTTCTTTTATACTTAGGCAAATAATATAGTTTAACCAAGCTCTTGGACCTTATTTGTAAGACAAAGCAGATCATTAAAAATAAGGCATACTTATCAGGAATTAAGTTTTGTTTGCTTGCTTTTGGCACATTTGATCATACTGTCGTCTATGAATAACACATATGGTCAAATATACCATTTCCTTTTCTGTTTCAGCACAAACAGGCTTTACCAACTAGTAAAATAAAACAAGGAAAAACTCCAACATAAAACATTGAGATACAGAACCTTGGTAAAGTACGGAGCACCTAGGGGGAAGGGTGGGGAAAGGATGAAACAGGAGAGAGAAGGGAAGGTTGGGAGGGTGCTTGGGGAGGTAAAGTGAGATGCAAAAAAGAGCATCTTTACAGTCACTTAGTCTTTTCTATGATCAACTCTTAAGTCTTAAAAGATTTGCATGTGGATTTCTTTTCAAACCCACTGACCATAAATTAGACACTGGTTTCAAAATCTTAGTAAGATTGTGTTTAACTGTTATAGTGTAAAGACAATTGCACAATACATGTGCTTCTTGATCCGGTAGGATTCCAAGCAGAATCTGAAGTCTAAGTAAGAAAGGCTTCACTTTAGGTAACTGACCCTAAAGAAAACCACATGAAAGAACTCGCATCTCAAAGAAAGGACACTTTGCCTAAGTTTGCTGTGTGTTTGTTGACTTGCACTACTTATTGCTGGCTACTATGAAACACTGATCTAGGAGTACTCCAACAACCTGTAGTACAAGGCTTAACTTTAAGAAGCTATAGTAAACAAGAGACAAAATCAAAGCAATTCTCTTTCCTAACTAGTAACAGCACGGATAATGCAGTCTTTTCCATATCACAGTTAAAGTACAGTGAACGAAACAGCTCAACAAACCTTAAGACAAAAAAGTGCAGGTTATTAATGTTTACATGCAGTTGATAAGCATTCCAAATGTCACATTATGCACTGTAAGAGCTCAATTTTACTATATGGAAATAAGAAAAATGCACCTTGGGGGACAGGGGAAAAACAATTTAATCATTTCCAGTGATTTTGTAAGTAAAGAAACTCCTAACTATTGTACGGTCACCTCATATTTAACATTGTATGAATATTAAAAGCAAACAATTTAATGGGAAAATGCACAGTACAATGGAAATAGCTTGTTATTCAACACATACAGTAGATCTCAAAAACAAAGACAACACACTCAACCAGGGAGCTTAAAAATATCAAATCAGAACCCAAAGAACCAGCAGAAAAAAAAATCCTTCAAAAAGACAACTGTTTCACCTTCCTAGGCCAATGCTTTACAATGTGAGAAGCACTGATACCTTCCAGCTCCTACAGGTGGTGTCTTCTACATACAGCAGTTAGATCTATATGGCTGGATTTGCCAAGAAACAATTCCATCCCCAGAACTCTGTCAGACAAAACCTTTTTTTTTAACCAAAATACTTTCTACAGAATTCCAAACCAAAATGTACTGTTTAAGGCATCTTTTTTTTATAACATTTTCTCTTCACTCAAGGATGATAGTCATGCAGCAGTTTAATGATAAAAATATATTAATATTTTACTATACAGCAGCAAAAACGTTAGTTGTCAATTAAAAGCACACGAACATCTTTAAATGAAAACCTGTAAAAGACTATCGTTACAAACAATTTCAGTTTGGAGGACACCAGCTTGGTAAAGTGCTCTCCTAAGCTTTGCATTTTCATACCCTACACCTTGAATATATGAGTTATGGAACATACTTTTGATAGAAGGCTTGTACACTTGGGGAACACAAATACACTTAGCATATAATGTAGCCAGTAATAACTAGCACCACAGCTACATGGAAATCCTCTACATACACCAACTTGGCTTTCACTTTTAAAATGAAACTCAGAATCCATGGCTCAGTAGGATAACTATAATTGTGTTGCTCTGCTTTTTAACAGGTCTACATAAGTTAATAGCACTGGCAAAAATCAAATGATAGCTTCAGATCTCTTACAAGTTTAGGAGACAGTGCTAGTGACCACAAATAGACTCACTACCTGATGTCCAAGTACAGGTTCACTGGAAATTGCTGCACGTTAGTTAAGTTTTTAAAATCTTTCTACACATAATAAAAAAAATATATTATGAACGATACAAGTACATCTCATATACACAATAATGACAAAACGCCTACTCAGTCAAAGCAAACAGATGCAGAAAAATATTATGGGAGATTTCCTTTTTCTTTCTTTCTCTTTTTCCTTTACTATTTGAATAACTTTGGTTCCAACCATAAAAATCACAACTTAGCAAATTTCATTTAAATGCCTTTTTTAATAATTTCATGTTCACAGAAGTTTCACTGACCATTTTTATATGTTTAAGGTCCAGATGCAATGCATATTGTATAAAAGAGAGCACTTATTGTTTACCTTGCATGAATTAAACCTACGTACCTTTAACTCTACAAACTTCTGCATAACATTTAGACAAAGCTCAGACACACAGCATGCCTAGCCCTCATATATATACACATCTCTAATCACAGGTATATAGGGTGTCAAATATACTATAATAACCTCCATGTAAGGTTTGAAATTTGGTAACAAAATGAGAAAAACTAAAAATATTATTTTACGTGTTCTAAAATATCTCTTTTTTGTGCTAAAGTCAAATGTTAGCTCAACATGAAAAGGACTTTTATATAATTCAGCAATATTATAATCTTGACCATTTTGCAAACACTTTTAATAATAATAGCTTAAACGTGTACAAAAGTTCTTGGTTAATTAGGGAAATAAACACTCAGTTCTTTATATTTTTTAATCAAGTAGGAAACACAGTTCATATAATGTTATTACTTTTTGTATTTTTTTTGTTTTTTGTTTTTAGCAGCTGCTTACTGTTTTATATGGTGGATAAAGTGGACAACATCCAGCGATGGGTGGCAAGTCAAGAAGAGAAACTGTCAGTTGGTGGAGGTTCTGTGGGTGGTGCTCCCTTGGAGTTAAGTTATTTTTTTTTAACTTTTTTACTTTTTATTTTCTCTCTTTCTTTACAGTATATTTTCTGTGTGTGTGGCTGTGTATGTGTGTGTGTATGCATGTGTGTATGGTTTTTTTCCCATTCAGTTTGATCAATCTTCTTCCCCTTCTTCCTCACCCTGCAGCAGCAGGGTGGCAGCGGCGGTCTCCTCCTGCTGCTGCTGCTGCTGCTGGTGGAGCTGCTCACAGGCAGCTCGCTTCTCTCTCTGCTTCTCCTGAATCTTCTTCATCTCCTCCGAGTACTTGCAGAAGGTGTGTCCGAACTTGGCCCACACCTTGTAGGGCACGGTAATGGAGTTGCGGTAGGTGGGCTTCACCTCGCTCACTCGCATAAACACACCGTACTTGTTAGAGCCCACATCGAAGAAGAAGCGCTTGTTGTCCACAGTCAAGGAGGTGCCCTCGGGCAGCTCGGCCGGCTCCTCCTCCACTCCGTAGTCGTCGATGAGCTTGGCCAGAGCGTCGCGGAACTCGATGAGCCCCTGTGCGGGCAGCGCAATGGTCTGGCCCTGCGTGGAGCCCAGGCCGGGCCCCCGGTTGACCGTCTGGCGGATGCGCAGGAAGCGGCCGCGCTGGTTCTCCTTGAGATCCATGTAGTACTTGCGGTTCTCGCGCACCAGGAACTCGCTCTTGAGCGCCCGGCGCGGCTCGTCCTGCGCCTGGGCCAGGTCGGGCGGCTGGCTGGGGCCCAGCTGCGCGTAGTGCTCGATGAAGTCGCCCAGGTAGTCGCGGAACTCCACGGCTACTGACATGGAGAGAGTGAGGCGGCTCTTGTTGCCGCCCGCGCCCACCTCAGCGATCTTCAGGAAGCGGCCCTTGGCGTTCTGCTTCACGTCCAGGTAAAAGCGCTTGTTCTGGATGTCCACCCGCTTGGAGGCCAGCTCCTGCGTCTCGTGCTGCAGCCCCCCCGGGGCCCCGCCGCCGCC